GGGAGGCCAGGGGGGCTGATGTACCTGATTACGACCGTGACACCTGTTGCACGCAAGCTAAGACCGTGTCACCAACCACAATCAAATCAATACACAGAGAAATAGCGATGCCATGGATAACATTGCGCAATGATGTCGCGCCAAGTCAATTCTGTAGTCCACCTAGGTATCTGTTTTGATCGATACTTCGCCCAAAGTGATTCGCGTCTCCAAGTACCTACGTCCTCAGGAAAGGTGCCTACATGGGCATTTCGTTTTGGCGACAACGGGCAGGTAGGTATGTATGGATCAGGCTGATGAAAAATAGAAGGGGTAAAGGGTCAGGCGAATGATCGGTAAAAGCCTGTTTTGTGGGTGCAAGTGCCGTCACACATCACTTCTTACTTAGGCCTCGGGTGCATCAGTGTCTGTTTATCCCTGGCCCTCAAGACAGCAATGAATGGTGGCGAGGGGCGGTGAGCACCTGAGTGGATGCGTGTCGGCGGTATCAAAGCATAATATTTGGGCAGAGAGCGTTGCTTCAGGTTCAGTCGGGCACTGCAGCTTGGTGATCATTTGATTTCATAAGCATGTGGTGTCGTCGTGTTGTATTTGCGCCCAGGTTCGGCATGGTGCTTGCTGTCAGTGGTCCCAAGAGATTGGTCTAGGTGCATGTTGACATGCGGTCGGGCAGGCACCTCAATGTACACCACCACCATGGGTAAACTCAATGCAGGGCCATAGGACCCTGCATTGTCTCCTTCCATTCAACTGTGTTTGATGTTCTGCTCAGGAAGGTAACATAGAACAGGACAATCGAACCTGGGGGTTGCGTTTTTCTCTCCCTCATTCTTTTGGCTGCGTTAGTGCCAATTTCCAGGACCCCATTCAACGGCGGCGCCATCATACCCTTTGTTGTTTCGCCTGGAACCCTGAAGAGACGCCGACACGTGCCAACGCCTCGTGTCATGCCAGGCATTGCTCCTTACCTCCTCTCCCTTGGACTCGCCTAATCCGCCGACACGGCGCTGATCCTGTGTCACCGAGCGAAGAATAGGTTATGGCGCATGTAGGGCATCTTCTTGAACGTCCAAACCTCGCTCAGGCGAATATCATATCCACCGATCGAAACTACTTCTACTTGCAGAACCTTTCACCTCACCCACCACACCCGCCGAGGTCTGTTGTGCCAGTCACACTACGAGAGCCGCCACCAGCAGAGGCAAGTGAAGTGGTTCGAAACCACAGACACTTGACTCGCGGCCTCCGCTGCACGTACAGAACTCGTCTGACTGGTCAACGAATTGCTGATCGCTGCCGTTTTCTTCCTGCCGTCCTGCCCTCCCGCGTTGTCTTGGAGGCCAAGACGCACTGGCCGAACTCAATTAGGTGCATTGGATCCAAACATCGGCCTGGCGCCATTGCCTTCCCCTTACCATCAACAGGTGGCCGAAGATTTTTCTTTCCCCCTTCTGGCGACTCCGAACCATCTTTGACAAAGGATCAAGCCGGCCCTAGGCCAACGGTTACGAGGCTAGAAGACACGCAGCCACTCAAGGAAGCCGCTGCTCGCCATCAGCCCACTCCTAACTCAACCACTGGCTTGCCAACTTGAAATCCCCTTGGTGAGTTGTACCTCCCTAGGTCCCTGTGTCTGCACCCCGAGAACCCCAGGCGGAGCCTACCGCGTGGCCCCACTGGCCGCCACCCTGCATTGGTAGTGCATTTGGCGGTAGTTCCGAGACAGTCCCGTCTTGAACCTCTCCCCAAAAAGGAAGAAAAAAGGAGAGGCGTCGGCCCAAAGACGAGACGCTCATAAACGGAGCATTCCTGCAACACCCAACTAATGCCTCCCACTAGATTGCCGATCCTGCGACTCGACCTACATTCTTTTTGAACGCGACGCCCGACCTGTCAGCGACAGGGTGTACCGACTTTCCTCCTCCGTCCTTCTACCATCACACGTGTTCAGTCCCGAAGGTCATTAATACGTTTCAACACGGTGTATCGCAACCTTTTTTGATCAGCAACCAGAAAACAACATGTCAAGACGAGTTATCCCTGTGACGGATTGGGCGCCTGTTCAGGAGGCCATATTCGACGAGCCCGCAGGCGAGGCTTCGACATCCTCTTCAATCACAGCGGTCGACTATCCTCCACGCGAGCCCATTGCCGCCGCCTACAATAAGGACCGCCTCCGAAGCAAAAGCCATTCCTACTCTCTTTTCTCGCGACGTCGTCCCCAGTCCATGTTTGGACTTCCTCTCTCCTCGCCCAAGTCTGACGGCACCGGACTTGGACTCAACATACAGGGCTTAGCAATTGATGGTTCATCCTCGGCACCAACCCAGTCGCGAGCCAAACATGGCCACAGTCAGAGTGTCGCCGCCGGTACAAGGACAAGGCAGGCTGCTGGCGAAGACGGCAGCATCAAGAGCATCATTCGCAGGGCTTCCATATCGCTGAAAGGAATGGTCAATCACAGGCAGAGGCACTCGATAGCATATCAGACTCCTACCGATGCCTTTGACCAACAGACATCTTGCAGCCCCGTTGCTAGCCCAAGTACCAGTCCTCGTCCCGGGACTTCTCACTCTGTTTGGGGACGTCGTCTGCGCCAGGCTGCCAGTTTCCGCCATCATAGGACGTCCCACGGCGCCGTCGATGGTGAGCAACCCAGATTCGACCACACGTTTCCCTCGCTTCCTTTGCCCGGCACCGGCAGCGAGCCTCCCATCATTCCTCGCCACACAGGCGCAGCGTAAAAGCCGCTGCTGCCGCCCAAAATGAAGCCGTTGGGGACTTTGACGACCATCGACAGCCAG